AGAGAGAGAGAGAGAGAGAGAGAGAGAGAGAGAGAGAGGGGAAGGGAAAGGGAGGCAGATTTAACTTTAGTTACGAAAATACTTAAATAAGTTTCAATATTGGAGCAAATAGTCTGTGAATAAATAACCCTATTATATGCAAGAAAACTGGGGAGCCAGTCTGATTTTACATATATATAAATATATATCTCCGACAGTTGGCTTTTATGTTTTTTCATTTACGGTTTCATTATCACTGGAGTTTAGTAATGGGAATTATTCTTCTGAGTTAATAGGATTTCAAGTTGAATAGGTACTAGAGTAGGGAAAATAATCTGTTTCTCAATCTTTTTTCAGGCTACATTTCCAACAGTTTCGAAATTTTCTCTGTCCACTGCCTTTCTCTTGTAAAAATTTTCAGTTATCTATTGCTAGCTAACAGACTGCCACAAAATTTAAAACAACAAACATTTTTTCAAGATTCAGTGAGTCAGATTCATTGATTCATGGCAGTGATTCAGCTGCTTAGCCAGTATTTTTAAATGGCTGTAGATATTTGGTGGCTAAGTTGTGGTAGAGGATCTAAAATGGCCTTGTTCCCATGTCTGGAGCCTTGGCAAAGATAATGAAGGCTTTCTCCATATGGTTTCTCATATTTCAGTAGCCCATGCTTTTTTGTGTCAGTGTTCCAAGAAGGTGAGAACAGAAGCTGAAATGCCTCTTGAGGCCTAAGTGCTGGAATTACTAGACTATCATTTCTGCCACATTCTATATTGTTAAACAAGTCACAGGCCAACTTCTATCCAAAGCATGAGGAAATAGACTCTGTCTCTTGAAAGAAGGACGTCATGGCAAAATAATGCAGCCATATTTTCTAATCTATCATGAAAGTTTCGCCGAGGAGAGAGGGTGCGAGAGATATTCAAGCAAGCAGGTTTATTAACCTGCCAGGCTGAGCCCACGAGTGGCATTAGCCCCGACTAAGGGAAGGTCTAGTTTTTTATAAGGCGGAGTAAGTAACCAGTGGCAACGGCTGGTGGTAACCGCTTGGGGCAGCGGCTGGGGGTTTTCGGAAAATTTCTGCTTGTGCCAAGCAGGATATGGATGATGTATTTCCCACTGGGTTTGGCACCAAGCAGGATGTCAGTGTGCGCCTGTTACTACATGGATGAGCTGGCCTCCAGGGCGAACAGTACCTTTTATATCATAGGAAGGGTTAACTCAACACAGAGTATATCCCCTGCTGTTTGAAGTAGGGCTCACACAGCTGCAATACAAAGGGCCATGCACTCAGGAAGGGAAATGTAGATAATTCTGTCTGGACAGATTTCAGAATGGAAACGGAAATGTGGAGAAATGGACAGGAGGACTAAGGAGACTTGGCCATATGAGAACTACTCAAAATTTCCAAATATCTAAATAGGCTGATACTGCTAGATTAATCTAGTATTCAAAAATCTCATAGCATCAGATGGTTTGCAAAATGTATGAAATTTTCTGCAAAATTAAATATGTATGCATTTGTGTATAATTCTGGGTAGAAGAAAATTGTTCTTATTAGATTCTCAAAGGTATCAGGACCCCAAAAGAGTTAAGAACCACAGTTTTAGTTTTGAAAAATTGTCATATTTCAAAATGGTTTTTTTTTCTTCTTTTCCTTTGTTTTTGGGATTTTTAAGGGATTTAGCATACATCAACAAAGTGTTCTAAAAATAATATCGTGGTTAGGCAACCTGTGTTAGTAAGCTAGACCAATACTGTGGGCAACACGTACAACATCTAGCAGGTTGGTTTTCTAGATTTTGGTAATGTAGACCAGGTTAGAGCTAGGAAGTAGGGATTTTCAGTGAATTTCAGTGAATTGAAGAGTGAATTTCAGTATCTGGCTATATGGCCATTCTCCACTTCTGACAAAGTATGAACCAGTGTGAAATGAAAAGTGTTTAAATGATAAAATAATCTCATCTTATTGCATAACTCCAGTATTTGTTTCCTTTCAAAGGAGAACCATCCTGAGCTGCCTTTGATTAAGTTAAAGCAGGATGAGGTGAATGCTGCCTGGGAGCATCTCCATGGTCTGGCTCTCCAGCGACGGAAAACATTGTCCAATGCTGCAGACCTCCAGAGATTCAAAAGGTATGAGTCTGAGCACCATTAAAGGAACCTAAGCAATAGCACCATGTTTCTTTTTTTTAAATTAAATTTATTGGGGTGACAATTGTTAGTAAATTTACATAGGTTTCAAGTGTACAATTCTGTAATATATCATCTATATATCACATTGTGTGCTCACCACCCAAAGTCAGTTCTCCTTCCATCACCATGTATTTGACCCCCTTTACCTTCTTCTACCACCCTCCCTCCCCGCTTACCCTCTGGTAACCTCTAAACTGTTGTCTGTGTCTATGAGTTTTTGGTTTTTGTTTGTCTTGCTCCTTTCTTGCTTTCAGTTTTATACCCCACATATGAGTGACTTATTTTCTGTCTGACTTATTTTGCTTAGATCATAATCTCAAGATCCATTCATGTAGTCGCAAATGGCACTATTTCATCTTTTCTTATGGCAGAGTAGTATTGCATTGTGTATATATACCACATCTTCTTTATCCAATCATCTATTGAAGGACACTTTGGTTGTTTTCATGTCTTAGCCACCGTAAATAATGCTGCAATGAACCTCAGGGTACATTTATCTTTACAGATAAATGTTTTCAGATTTTTTGGGTGGATAGATACCCAAGAGAGGGATTGCTGGGTCATATGGTAATTCTATTCTTAATTTTTTTAAAAAGATTTAATTGGGGAATTGGGGAAGAAGAACAGACAAGTTGCTGTTGGTTTGTTCTTCAGTCTAGTTGTGGAGGATGTTGCTTCGCTGGCCCAAGCTGGCACCATCATTGCGCTCTTCCTGGGCAACGCAGATTAGTCGCCAGCCTCTGGATGGCTGCTCACGGCGGCTGCTGGCCGCTCACGCTGGCTGCCAGCTACACATGGTAGCTTATGGCAGCCCACTGCAGCAGGGGACTGCAGCTTACGCCGTCGCCGGTGACCCATGGCAGCCCAACTCCAGGTCGAGCTGTTGTTCAGCATCTTAGCTGTAGAGGGCAGTGTCACTGGCCCTCATATGTGGGATCCGAACTGGGGCCCTCTGGCATCCCAAGCCAGTTCTTAACCAATGCACCACTCTGCTGGCCCCTATTCTTAATTTTTTGAGGAACTTCCATACTGTTCTCTATAGAGGCTGTATGTATTTACATTTCAACCAACAATGTATGAGGGGAAAGCACCATGTTTTTTATTTGTGTTAGGCTCTGTCTATTGTTAGAAATTAGTAGCCAATACCTCAAACTAAAGAAAAACAGCTGCTTACCTTTAAGACAGCTAGAAGAGAGTAGTTAAAAACAACAACAACTACAAAAACAACAACTGAGAACCACCATGTAGCCAAGTGTGTAGTTACTGGAGCCCAAAAGAATAAAACAGCACTGGTGACTTAGTGATGGAAGCTCTGCAGAGGCAAGAAAAGCAGATTCAGAATTGGATAGGGGTGGGAGGTGGAATTGGGAAGAAGAAAGACATTCACGAAGAGCTCATCCAGATATTGTCAGGATGCCCAGGTCTCTACATCTCAGTGGAAACCATTTAAAGCAAGAACTCTTTAGATTCCTTTTTGCTAGTGTATAGGAAGACAGGGTAGTCTCTAGCTGGGTGAATGAGGTTGGGTCTTGCTGTGTGCTCTGTTTGCCCTAGAATGCCTGCCATGTTCTTTTGTTGAAGCCGATGTGCATGTCTGACAGGGATGTGACAGAAGCCATCCAGTGGATCAAGGAAAAGGAGCCTCAACTAATCTCTGAGGACTATGGCAAAGACCTTGTTAGCTCTGAGGCACTGTTTCACAGTCACAAGAGACTTGAGAGGAACCTTGCAGTCATGGATGACAAGGTAAGCCACTGTTGGAGAAATGGCTGGCCCCTTGAGCTACAAGAGGTATTTGGTGATCATCTTGCCTCCAGAGGACACAATAAATTCACTGTTTCAATGAAGTAGAAATTCTGTGGTCCTTGAACATATTCTAGTTCATAACTTGGATGTGAATATTTGATATCCTTTATTTCTAAAATTTTTATATATACATTTATGTTTTATATTTGTGTGCCATTGAGTTGACTTCTATGACCTTATAAATGAATGAGTGGTGTCCACAATGTCCTGCCCTCAACAGCCCTGCTTAGCTCCTGTAGACTCATATCTATAGCTTTTTTTTTAATGGAGTCAATCCATCTTATATTTGGTTTTCCTTTTTTCCTGCTGTCTCCTATTTTCCCAGTGTTATTGTATTTCCAAAAAAAAAACCCTGCCTTCTAATTAAGTGCCCAAAGTAGAACACCTTCAGTTTTGTCATTTTTGCCTCCAGTGATATTTCAGGCTTAATCTGCTCTAGGGCCCACTTTTTCATCTTTTTGCAGGCCAAGGTATCTGTAGAGCTCTCATCCAATACCATATTTCAAATTAATCTATTTTTTCCTATAAGCCTTCATCAAAGTCCGGCTTTCACATTTGTACATAGTAATTGGGAATACAGGAGTGTGGATGATCTTACTGTTGGTCTCTAATGACACTTCTTTGCTCGTGGTGTTCTTTCCTAATTCTTTCATTGACTATATTCCCCATGCTGCATTTTACATCCCTGTGACTCTTTTGTAACTACCAATTTGTACTTCTTCATTTCTTCACTTCTCTTACCTAGCCCCCGAGCCCCCCTCCCATCTAATAGCCATCAGTTTTTTATCTGTATCTATGGGTCTGTTTCTGTTTTGTTTGTTAGTTTATTTTGTCCTTCAGATTCCACATATAAGTGAGATCATTATGCTAAGTAAAATGAGTCAGACTGAGAAAGACAAATACCATATGATCTTAGCTTTCTCTTGATTTCTTGGTTGCAGTTTCCATTTGAATTGATAACTTGAACCAAAGTAAGCAAAATCTTTAACACTTTTAATGTCTTCATTGTCTATGTTAAAGGTGTTTATTTCTTCTGTGGTCTTATTTTTGTCTTTTTGAAGTCAAATGCAGTCCTACTCTGGCACCTTCTTTTCTTTTCCCCTGAAAATGTTTTATTACACACAGAGGGGATGGGGCTCAATCCTTCTTGGCTGCACCCTCCTCATGGCTGCAAGGACATTGCTCAGTTCCTCTCTTTCTCTTGGCATGGATGTGTGTCCCCACCCTTTTCTTGATGAACTTCAGGGCCCACTTGTCCTTAGAGACCTTGAGCAGCTCTATGGTACACTGCTAATCGGGCATTCATTTTTTCACTTCCACCAGGAGTCATTTCAAGATGTTGCTACCTGCTGCCAGTAAAATGGTGTCATCTGCACATCTTCAGTGATTGATATTCCACCAATTTTCACTCCTCCTTACTCTGAGCCTATCCTAGTTTTTTATACAATATCTTCTGTACAAAGGTTAAACAAATAGGGAGAGAAAATGCACCCTTGTTTGACACCTTTGCCTATGAGAAGCTATCTTATCTCTTTATATTCCTTCCTGGCAGTGGCTTCCTTTCCACAATACCGGTTATACATCCAGACAATCAAGTGCTGAGGCACACCCATTTCTTTCAGAAAAACCCATAGCTTTTCATGATCCACAGAGTCAAATCAAATAAAATAAAATTTTAAATTATATTTTATGATTAAAAAAAAATGCTACTACAACAAAAGATGCCTCCAAGCATTGTTTCCCAATTTCACTCAGTACCCTGTGGTCAGAGAGAGTCTTTCCTTTCCTTTCATCTACCCACACTTTCTTGTGTTGCAGCTGAATCCTGTGGGGTTTCTTTTGTCCATCACTCAGTAGCTAGGGGGATAAATTTCTTCTTCCCTTTTTACAATAAACTCAGAGACACTTGAAGCACATTATTAAATCCACCTTTGGGTTCTCTTCCAAAAGCTGGAAAACCCCAGTTCTTATACCTAGAAGAGTAGACATAGGCATGCTAGAATTTGGAGAAAGCCTGTATTCTTAAATAATTCCCATCCTTACTTCTTTCCCTGCATTTTAAACCATAATTTAAACCAATTACTTCTGAGCATCTACAGCAGAGTCAGCCCACAGGAAGATCCCCACTTGCTGTGCTTTAATCATAGTTCTGTCCATGGTTCCAGTTTCTGAAAACTGTTCCACCATTCTACTTCTTTTAGTCTGCTCAATTTTGTCTTTGATCTTTTCTCATAATAATAAATAATAAACCTCATGGCTTTATTAATAATGATAATGAAATCCCAAACCCTAGATAATACCTGATTTTAGTTGGATTTAATTAAAGGGTTAATGGTAACATGTGGAAAGTCACCTATATCCATAGTTTTGCCCTAATAACCCTACTACTCAGGAGTTGTGCTCAAAGTGGTTTAGCATTAGTGACATTTCTTGTCCTAGGCAGAAATGTCTTTCTGATTCCCATAATAATATTTATGAAAGCAGTATTGAAGGTGGTGAATCACAGACTTAGGTCTAAACCTTACTTCTGACACTTACTAGCTGAGTGATCTTGAGCATAAAAATACTTTATCTTTCACTTTTCTCATAAAAGGGGACTGGGAGTAGTTTGGACTTCATAGTATTATTAAAGGAAGACTATAAAACAAGAAAATGCATGTGGAGTGCTTAGCACAATGAGAGATAAAAAGTGCTCAGTAAAGTATTATTATTATTATTAATATAGTATAGTAGTATATTAATATAAATCTATCAATATAAATGTATTAATAAAATATTATTATTCACAAGATTTTGTTACATCTCTCCACAAAAACGTTGTCAGGAGTCAGAGTGCTTGGATTTCCCACTAGGTTTCTTTTTCTTCCCAAAGGTGAAGGAGTTATGTGCCAAAGCAGACAAGCTGAAACTTTCCCATCCTTCAGATGCACCTCAGATCCAGCAGATGAAAGAGGACCTAGTCTCCAACTGGGAGCACATTCGTGCCTTGGCTACCAGCAGATATGCAAAGCTGCAGGCTTGTTACTGGTGCAGAATCCCTCCTCTCTGTTATTCTACCTATCTCTACAGAATCCAGGCATAACACCAAAAACAGAAATAAAGGAGTGAAAGTAGTAAAACAGTGAGGAACCCATACCGCGTGCCTGCTCAGTCGAAGCAAAAGAAGTTTAATTTGCAAGAGAAGTCTTTTGCAGGCTGATATAATATTAGCATGACATTTCCCTCACCTGCCCACCTTTTGTCTTCCTCTGTTTGTATAGTTGTACAATGCTAGGAAGTGGCCCATGGAATTGAAAAAGCAGCTAAAGAAATGTCAAAATCCTGGTACTAGCTGAGAAATTGAAAACAATTTCCGAGCTGAAGAGCATAAAAATATATCTAGCATGATTTGGGTTGGTTTGCAAAAAAACCTGGATATCATTTCAGTAATTAATTTCATGGTTATGTGTTAAATCACCAGAAAATAGTGTTTTTCTTATTATTTTTATTTTTTATTAATAGGGTTAAGGCTGAACTAATATACATGAGGGCTTCTGACCCTAACTCTAGCCCCCTCTCCTCACAAGGTGCTTCCTGACATTTATATGTTATATGCTTATTGGTTGGCCTCATTGGGAGTACTTTACTCTACTTCAAGTGCCCCTGGAGTAGGTGTCAAGTGTAATGTTGGAGATGTAATGCCTATCACACAATGAAACATCTACCCAAGGAATACACAACCCAGAGTGTAAGACTGAAAACCTGCACCACTAAAAGAATAGGAAGTACATATGAAAAAGGGGAGGGGTAGAATTTGGGTAAGGAGCAAGTCTCACATCTTAGCTCAACCCAACCCTAACTCTTCATCCAAAGTCGATTTACACCTGGTTTCTCTTTCCTGCCGTTTACCTTACCTTTCCCACAGGTACCAGCGGTTTTTATCTGACTATGATGAGCTCTCAGGCTGGATGAAGGAGAAGACTGCTCTGATTAATGCTGATGAGCTGCCCACAGACGTGGCTGGTGGGGAAGCCCTACTGGACAGGCATCAGCAACATAAGGTAGAGAGAAAAGGCCTTCCCGGCAGGAGGAAAAGGGAGGTGCCAAGAATGCCAGAAGGTTTTTTGCTGCATTGTAAGACATTTTGTCTTTTGGCCACAGCATGAGATTGACTCGTATGAGGATCGATTTCAATCTGCTGATGAGACTGGTCAAGCCCTGCTAAATGCCGATCATGAAGCATCTCATGAAGTTCAGGAAAAGGTAATTAGTTTAACAGAATTTGTGAAATTCTGATCCACGTTTAGCCCTTGATTAATCTCATAAAGATATGATAATCTCTGAATGGTAAGAGGATAAAAATTATACAAATATATTAGTAATACGAACCCAACTTTCGCAGTGCTTCCTCTTGCTTTAACTAAATTGAGTCATTTGAAATTGTCAGATGAGATCGCGTATGTTCAGGGTGGTATGGCCTTAAACAGGATCCAATGGTGATGGAAGAACTGACTCTGGGTGGTGAACACACAATGTGATATATAAATGATGTATTACAGAATTATACACTTGAAACCTATTTAACTTTACTAACTACTGTCACCCCAATAAACTTTAATTTAAAAAAAAAAAGAAAAGAAAGAAACATAGACAGCAAAAAAAAAAAAAAGGGGGAAAAGAAAAAGAAATTCTCAGGACATGATGTGTGCTGCTTCCTTCCTTACCTCTGACTATTGATTTCATCAACCTAACTTCTACCTAATTTGAAACCTCCATACCACCTTGCCTTGTCATATATGCTCTGTTTTATCACTTTTCTATGCTCATCTCTAGATTGTGAATTCTGTGAGGACTGTATCTTATTCATATTTGGGTTTTCTAAGGTGCCTAGCACAGTGTTTGGCACCTGTACCTTTTCTTCTCTCTTCTATACAATCTCAAATCAAATTGATTCTCCTATTTCTGTGTTTTTTGAATTCAGAATAAATAACAGTAACGCTTCAAACACTCAGAACTCCACTGAATGAAGAATCAGGTTTGGCATCATCTTAATCTCTTAGATCACGTAGGCTCACCTCAACATCCTGACCCCTGAGAGAGATTTTGGTCCAGTCACAGTCACAGGAATTCCTTAGGATGACAATTAAAATTTGCAAGCTTCTTTGCATTTCATTAGATTTCAAGCACAGTATCCAGTGCTGTGTGATGGATTAGGTTGAGATAAACATATTTTTAATTCCCCCAGTACTCTATGGGAACATTATTAATATGGATTTTATTATTAACAATTTTCTGCCGAAAGAATAGTGGGATCCTCAGTCCTTAAAAACCAACTTATTATCCTGGGATTCTGAGAATTTGCTCCTTTTTGATGGACTTAGCAGCAGCTGTGATAATAAGCAGGAATTTCTTGGGTAGATGCTTGGGCAAAAACAGAGAATTTTTGTGGGTTTGATAATGTTATTTTTCTCTTTCCTTGATGGTTCTTATTAGCTTTCAGAATAAAGTGCAAACTTCTGAGTCTGATAATTTAAGTACTCTATGAACTTAAAATTCATAAGACGTCCACTTTTTTTAGGCTCTGCACTTTTCTCTGGAGCACTTTGTATACTCTAACAATTATTAGGAGTAATTACTTGCTTATGGCATTATGTCCTCTGATAAAACTAACCCCCACTCCCTGCCTTTTTTATCTCTGCTTGGTATATATACTTCCCATACTTCTCCCTGGCTCTTCCAACAGAATTAACATTTTCTTGTTTATTTTTACATATTATATGTGTACCTCTATTATGTTATTTATCACATTTTTCCTATACTACAATTATTCACTTAGATGTTAGAGCCTTAAAAGAAAAGCCCATTTCCTGTTCATTTTTGTATCCTTCAAAAGGCCTTGCATTTATTAGATGCTCAGTAATGTAGAATAAGATAAACTAATTAAATATCTTCCTTGTACATTATCTCTTTCTTTCCAAAGATGGCAATACTTGACAACAACTGGGCTGCCCTGCTGGAACTGTGGGCCAAGCGTCAGGATCAGTATGAACAGTGCTTGAACTTGCACCTCTTCTACCGTGACAGTGAGCAAGTGGACAGTTGGATGAGTAGACAAGAGGTAACAGGAGGGGTTGAACAATGGTCTGGAAACCATTTCTCCATTCCTCATGACTACTATCAACACCCTCAAAACCAGTCCTGTGGTCCTAAGCTTGTCCCAGGAACTGGAGCGTGAACCACAAAGAGAAGAAAAGATTGACCCTCTCTATACGGCTCCTACATTTCCTCATGGACGAATGCACATAAAAATATCTAAATACATAGCAGAGAGGCTTTAACCTCAACTAAACATAAGGAAACATTATCAAATTGCTAAGGGATAAGCAAGAGAAAATTGTGATGAAGTCAGGTAGGATTAACCAGAGATTTCTGGTGAAGGTGAGTGGTTTTCTTAAGGCAGCTTTGAGAGTTCAGAATAATGCCCAGATTGGTTAAGAGAATTCTATGTGCATGAACCTAGAGACAAAGGTGATCAAGTTGTATGAGAGCATTAGGAAGTCTAAAGCTCCTGCTGTTTGAGGTTATTCTACTTTCTATACTGCTTTCTGATAATTCCTACCTTAGCCTCCAACTCCCTTACCTGTTTCCTTAGTCTTTGTCTCAGAGATATTGCAAAGGGAATGTTTCTCACCAATAAGGCACAGCTGATGTGTGTCTTTCTGTCTTCAACAGGCCTTCCTGGAAAACGAGGACCTGGGAAACTCCCTGGGGAGTGTAGAAGCACTTCTTCAGAAGCATGATGACTTTGAAGAAGCCTTCACTGCCCAGGAGGAGAAGATCACAGTAAGAAATGGGCCCTGGTTTGGGCATTGGCTTCATGTTTGTACATATCATCTCATTCAACATTTATCCTTAGAATCACTCTTCTAACTATCAGACATAACATGAGAATTATTTTTAAGAGAAAACATCTGGAAAAACAATAATACCCATTTTTATCAACATATTCCTTGCTCCCCAAAGCTTATTTTGGAAGTTTTCCATATTTCATGCCATTTATATTTTGGATGAAGTGCATACTTGTCTTTATTCTTCAGTATAAATAGAAACTTTTGGATCCATATTTGATATAGAATTATTACTTAAAAGTTTGAAGTGTATTATTTTAAAATTTTCCCTTTCTAGTGATATCTCTATTTAGTTTTCTCTAACAATATTCAGATATCTAAGTAATATCTATTTCCTTTAAAAGCATATCTTTGTGCTTCTCATTTAATGCTACTACAGTTTTTCTATTAGCCTTAAGTTACAAGGTCCCAGAAAAAATGGTGAATATATATGCGGGCTCAAAGAACAGTAAGAAAAACTTTATGGGTCCAATATATTAAATGTCTTTGGCTGTCTTCTACGATGGTGCTAGTTTAAACTCACACACATGCACATGCATCACCACTATTGCAACAACAAAAATAACAATCAAATTCCAAGTCTTCCCTTTTAATCTTCAGTCAATATACAGCTTAATATGATTCCTTATTAATCCATATACTTGTTTCATTGATTCTCATTGGTAAAAGCTAATGGTGTAAAATAATTTTATTGTTTATAAAGTGCTATCATTCATTTTAGATCATTTTTCTATTTCTAATTAATTGTCATCTTTAGCTCTAGTAACTTGAGGGTTCGTGAATGAATATGAGTAAAAGTTTACCTTTACAATTTTTTACTACTCTCTTCATATAGATATAGATGTAAATATAAATACATATGATAGATTTTATATATATATATATATATATATATAGGGAGAGAGAAAGGTAGATAGATAAATAGATAATAGATAGATAGATAGATAGATAGATAGATAGATAGATAGATAGGGTAGCCACTGGACATGGCTATATCAATAGTGCTTGCTCTTGGATATTTAAGAATAGATAAAATATTCACGTTGTGATGACATCATAATTCATTTACTGTAGCCTAGATTTTGAAAATATTGTGGCATTCTTGGTGTGCTCTGAGCCTTTTGGGTTGCTCCAGGCTCAGCACTCCCAAGAAGCCCTAAAATCAACACATTTGGTGGCCAGTTTCAGACCACAACTAGCACAGTCCAATTAAATACCACAAGTAGCACACCACAAAGGGTGGTCTCCACAGGCACCAAAGCACCTGCTGGAGTGTATCCCCAGCTGCAAGATCAGCCTCTGCACAGTAGCTCATATGCTGTGGGCATGAATAATCTTCACAACCAGTCATTCAGGCGGCCAGTCCTACCCACTGATATGCCAACACCAATCAAGGCTCAACTGCAACACAAGGGCACACACAACCCACAGAAGGGACACTCTTGGAGCATCTAGCTCAGGTGACCATGGAGACTGTGCCTCTGATCTCACAGGACACATACTACAAAGGCCACCCTGCCAAGACTGGGACACATAGCAAATCTATCTAATACACAGAAACAAACACAGAGGAGCAGCTAAAGTGAAGAAACAAAGAAACATGTTCCAAATAAAACAAAAGGTGAATACTCCAGAAAAATAACTAAATGAAATGGAGGCAAACAATCTGCCATATTCAGACTTCAAAGCACAGGTTATAAGAATGTTTAAGGAATGTAGTGGAAGAATAGATGAACTCAGTGAGAACTTCAAAAAAGAGGTAGTAAGCATATAAACCATAATAAGGAACCAGCCAAAAATAAAGTATACGAGAACTGAAATGAAAAATGCACAAGAAGGAATCACTAGTAGACTAGGTAAGGCAGGGAATTGAATCAGTGATTTTGCAGACAAGGTAGCAGAAAAAATGCAATTGGACCAGCAAAAAGAAAAAATATTGGCCGGCCGAGTGGCTCAGTTGGTTAAGAGCTCACTCAAGAGTTTGAGCTCTGAGCAACAGCAGTTCGAGTCCAGCCCGAGCTAAGCAGCTGCTGAGCTGCCAACAGGTAGCAGAATGGCTCAGCTAAAAAAAAAAAAAGAAAAGAAAAAATATTTAAAAATAGAATAGTTTAAGGGACCTATGAAACAACATCAAATGTAACAACATTCACATCATAGAGGTACCAGAAAGAGAAGAGAGAGCAAAGGATTGAGAAGCTATTTGAAGAAATGTGACCAAAATTTTCCTACCCTGGTGAATGAAATAGACATAAAAGTCCAGGAAGCACAAAGGATCCCAAACAAGATAAACCAAAAGAGCTCAAACCAAGACACATAAGAATAAAAATGCCAAAGGTTAAAGACAAAGAGAGAATCTAAAAAACAGCAAGAGAAAGTCAGTTAGTTACCTACAAAGCAGCTTCCATAAGACTATTAGCTGAGTTCCAGTAAGGTCAAGATGGCAGAGTAGGTAAACACTGTGCTCACCTCCTCTAGGGACCACATTAATTACAACTAAACTACAGAACAATCATCATGGAAAAATCACCTGAAGTCTAGCTGAACCAAAACCCTACAAGTACTGACATACAGAAGAAGCCACCTCAAGACTGGTTGGAGGGGCAGAGGCATGAAACAGGCTGGTCCGACACACATGTATGACCATTAAAAATTGGGAGGAATATCCCAGGGTTCCAGTGCCAGAGAGAGAAGTCCCCATAACTTCTGGCTGTGAAAACCAGTTCAGTTCCCACATGGGCCAGTTATGTTGCGCCCTCTACAGCTAAGATGGTGAACAACAGCTCGACCTGGAGCTGGGCTGCTGTGTGTGGCCGGAGATGGCGTAGGCTGCAGTGGGGCTGCAGTGGGCTACCGTGAGTTACCGTGAGTGGCTGGCAGCCAGCGTGAGCCGCCGGTGGCTGGCAGCTAACGAGAGCTGCTGTGATCTGCCCGTGAGCCACTGTAGCGGCCGTCGAATGGCCAGCGACCAACTGCCTCAGCCGGGAAGAGCACAGTGATCATAATACCAACATGAGCCAGTGAAGCAACATCCTCCACAACTAGACTGAAGAACAAAAGGACAGCAACTTATCTGTTCCCCTCCCCCAATTCCCCAAAAAATCTTAAAAAAAAAGAATGCTCAATGATCTCAGGGACAACTTCAACACAGAGATAGGAAGCATAAAAATGGAGATGGAAACTATAAAAAAGAACCAGTCAGAAATAAAAGATACAATAATGGAAATAAATAATATATTACAGGGACTCAACAATAGATTTGATGAAGCAATGGATCCAACCAGTGATGTAGAAGATAAGGTAGCAGAAACCCAACCAGAACAGCAAAAAGAAAAAAAAAATCCTAAAAACTGAGGAGAGATAAGGGACCTAAGGGAAAATATCAAGCGTACCAACATTCACATTGTAGGAGTCCCAAACAAGATTAACCCAAGGAGGCCAACACCAAGACAAATCATATTTAAAATGCCAAAGGTTAAATACAAACAGAGAACCTTAAAAGCAGAAAGAGAAAAGCAGTTAGTTACCTTCAAGAGAGCCCCCATAAGACTGTCAGCTGATTTCTCAACAGAAGCTTTGTAGGCAAGAAGGGAGTAAGAGTAAATATTCCAAGTGATGAAGAGCAATAACATACAACCAAGATTGCTCACCCAGCAAGGCTGTCATTTAGAATTGAAGGACAGATAACGAGCTTCCCAGACAAGAAAAAGCTGAAGGAGTTTATCATCACCAAACCAGTATAACAAGGAATCTTAGAGGGAATTCTTTAAGATGGGAGAGAGAATAAGGATTGTTGAAAGGGGAAAGGATTAAGAAGTACAAATTTGTCGTTATATAGTAGTCATGGGGATGTAGGGTATAGCATAAGGAATATAGTCAATAATATTGTAATAACTAGGCATGGTGCCAGATAGGTACTAGAGATATCAGAATGATAGTTGGGAATGGGGTTGGCAGCAGGGTGAAAAAGGTGAAGGTTTAAGAAATACAAATTGATAGTTAATACAGTATGGGGAATATAATCAACAATGTAAAGATCATGTAAGGTGCCAGTTGGGCACTGGACTTATCAAGAGGATCACATCATAGGCTGTGTACATGCCTGACCAATGTGCTACACACCTGAAGAGCTAAAGTAGAATAATACTGAAAGTCAACTATAACTACTATATAGGTATATATAGTTATGAGATGTGGAGTACAACATAGGGAAGATAGTCAATGTTATTGTTACAGCTATATAAGCTATTGGAGTGGTAATAGCTTGGGAGGGTGAGTTATCACTTTATGAAGGGTTTAAATGTCGAACTATTATGTGCTTTGTACACCTGAAACAAACAAACAAACACACAAACAAACAAACAAACAAAGACATAGGGTGGCTGAATGAATAAGAATAGAAGACCAATATATATGCAGCCTACAAGAGACCCACTTCATAATCAAAAGATACACACAGTGAAAGTAAAGAAATGGAAAAAAATATTTCATGAAAATGAAAACAAACAAACAAAAAGCAAGGGTAGAAAACTTATATTAGAGAAAACTGACTTTAAAAGAAAGGCTATAAAAAGAAACAAAGAAGGACATCGCATAATGATTAAAGGAACAATCTGACAAGAAGATATAACCCTTTTAAATGTTTATGCACCCAACGTAGGAGCACCTAAATATATAAAGCAAATATTGACCAATATAAAGGGAGAGATTGACAGTAATACAAGGTGTGACAATTACGTTCCAGAACTTGTTGCAACAATGTTGCTAACCTTTTTTTGATATCAGGTGAATTATTCATTATGAATTTGTACCAACTGGGCAAACAGTTAACCATATTTAGTATTTGGAAGTGCTGAAAAGTCTGTGTGGAAAAGTTAGACCACTTGAACTTTTTGCCAACAATTCATGGCTCTTGCATCATGACAGTGCACTAGCTCA